ACTCCCAAGGCCCACTCCTGGTTTGCTGTGGCCAGGTCTATTCTGGCAGAGCCTGCCCTGGACTGTGCTCCACTTTCATCCAGGTGTGACAGACCTTTCCTAATGACCTTCTAAGTTGTCTTTGGAGTTTATGGACTGAGAGGTCTGGAAACCACCACTGCTGCCAGTGATTCAGCTGCCCTGAGGCCTGCTCCCAGTTTGCTGGAGCTTGGTCTGTCTGTGCTGGACTGCATTCCTCTCTGGTGGACCAGAGTATACCAGTATACCAGTACACCCTGATGTAAGAGACCTTTTCTGCTGACCTTCCAAGCTGTCTTGGGCTGGAAATTTCTTTCACACTGTCTTTTTGTACATTCTGATCCTCTAGAATTTGTTCAGAGTCATTCTTTAAAGGTATTTGGAGGGTTTTGGGGGAGAGCTAAAGTGAGTCTCTGCTTTTACTTTGCCATCTTGGCACCTAATTTTGACCTAATTTTGATGATCACTCTTTCCCTTCTTAAGGGCTCAACACTCTTTAACCTTACCTTTTCCTCTTGGAATCTCTAGCTCCTTTCATGGTTCAACTTGTGCCACCTTCTATGAAGGACCTTTCCCAATTTCCCCATTTGTGTATTGTATGTGTTTTCTACTTACATATTGTTTTCTTCCAGTAGAATATAAGTTCACTAATAATAATAATAATAATGATGATGATGACAAATAATAGCTAACATTTATTTAGTACTTATTATGTGCTAGGCACTGTGTTAAGAACTTTTACAAATTTTATCTTATTTGATCCTCATAACAACCCTGGGGAAGTAGGTGCTATTATTATCCCCATTTTACAAACGACAGGGATCATTTCATTTTTTTGGCTTTGTATTTCTAGCACCTAGTTCAGTGTCTGGCTCACAGCAGGTATAATACTTAATATTTTCTTTTCACGTTAAATTGAAATTTGCTTTTAAGTGTTATTTTTAGATGGGTTAGTTTATTATAATAAAAATTTTTAAATGGTAATATATTTTGTAGAGATCTCTAAGATAAACCCCTTCTCCTCCAACCAAAAGCCAAGACAGTTCCTGATATTACCTAATTAACTCTCTGGTAGGGCCATAGCAATTCATAGCCATTCTTCTTGAGCTATTGTTTGAGATGAGAACTGTGAATCACAAGCTCCTATTAAGCACATACTAGAAACTCTCAATAGCCCAATATCACCTTCTACAGGTCTTTCCTGGTTCTCTCCTTCCCCTCACTTCACAGCTTTCCATCTAAAAGAATTAATAACAATAATGATAATAGCAAGAGTTTATATAGTGCTTTAAGATTTGCAAAATGCTTTGCAAATATTATATCACTTTATCCTCACAATAACTCTTGGAGGTAGCTTCCATAATTATCTCCATTTTATAGATGAGGAAACTGAAGCAGAGGTTAAGTGATTTGCCCCAGAGTCATATAGCTAATATTTATCTGAGGCCATGTTTGAACTCAGGTGTTACTGACTCTCAGGCCCAGCACTCAATCAACTGTTCCATCCAGCTGCCTAGTTATTTGTGTCTACTTTCCATATATCTTGAATATATTTATGTATGTGTAGTAGAAGGGGAATTAATCAGGTCACCCCAGATCAACTGATTTCCCTTGAGCTTGCAGAAAGTAAGGGCAGGTAAGAGAGAAAAGAGGTGTTACATTGTTAAACTTTTAGAATTTCATAAGGCATAAAGTTCTTTGGTAAAATTTAATGAAAATACAGCATAGCTGGTGTAAGTAAGGTGGATTTTAGTGTGCGTAAGGATTTTGTTATTTCTTTTCAGATAATGGGTCCCAGGATCCATGGCTAAAATAGATAAGTCCCACAAATTATGGCTGATAACAACTTCTACTGTGCAGTCACAGTGGAGATACAGGGATGACATAATGTACGTCTGCACTGTGCTAGGTCATTTGATGTTGCTAAAGTTAACCTGTGAGGCCATTGTTGGCAATATGCCTTCTTTGTCTGTTGCCCTATAAATCAAGTGGGCACTGGTCAGTAAGTGGGTAATCCACTTTGGGATTTGGGTAACTCACAGAGGAATGAATGTACCTGCCTTGATTGGCCCCCATCAAGGCTTGCCTCAACCAGCCCCCATTGAGGCTTTAGGGGACCAGCAGGAGTTGTAGCTCCCACCACTTTCACCCGCCCCTGCGAGAAAAGTGATTAAGGAATGCTGTAGGAGTTGGCGCTCCCATTATTATTATTCTATGAGTTGATGAAGATTGAAGAAAGCAGAACTAGAAAAATTTGTATAATACTATACAAAAATTCTTTTTGAAAGATTTTAGAACTCTGATCAATGCAATGATAAAACTGAGTCCAGAAAAATTAAAAATAAACCCATTATTCACCTCAGGCAAGAGAAGTGATAAACTTAAAAATGCAGAGAGAAATACACATTTGGACTGGCCAATGTGGGAATTTGTTTTGATGAACTATGTATGTTTATGATGAAGGTCTTGCTTTTCTTTTCTTTCTTTTCTGTTTTTTGATTCAATAAGGGGAGGTAGTGGGAGATACATTACAAATTCATGTAAGAACAAATAAATTTATTTTAAAAATTGTAACCTCCTTCAAGGTTGGGGCTTTGTATTATGTTTTTGTATTCCCAATGCTTAGCTCAGTGCCTAGCACATAGCAGCAACTTAATAAATGGTTACTGATTGATTGCCACTGGACTAGGCCCTAAGGATGGATACAAAGAAAAATTAAAAGTTTTGCCCTCAAGGAATTTATAGTATCAGGAGACATGAATATTAAAAATACACATGAGGGTTTTTAGGAGGGGAGGGAAGTTACTAGCAACTGAAATGGAAGGCAGTAATCAGGAAAAGACCCTAAGCAGATGATGTTTGAGGTTCATTTTTCTCCCTTTTTAATCACACTTCTCCTCACCCCAATTAATATGCACTTAACACTATTGCTATGTAATCCTGGGAAACGCACTTGTCTGCCTCAGTTTCCTCATCTGTAAAATCAGAATAATAATGGCACCTATCTCCCAGGGTTGTTGTGAGAATAAAATGAAATAATCTTTGTTAAAGTACCCCACAAACCTTAAAGCACTATATACAACTGTTATTATTATTTTCACTTCCTCTCTCCAAAAAAGAAAACAAAACCTTTGTAACAAATATGCATAATCAAGCAAAACAAATTCCCACATTGATCATGTCCAAAAAAAAATCTTTTAAAAATAGTTTTACTGATATGTTTTGTTTTTCCATTATAAACATTTACCAATTACTCCCACTTGTGAAAGGATTCTTGTAATGAAATAAAACATTTAGGCAAAGCCAGTGACATGCCTTTCACATTTATAGCACCCCTCACTCATATGAAAATATTGAAATCTCTTTTCTCTTCCTCTTACCCTTACTCTATTAAAAAAATAAATTCAAATAAATATGCATAGTCAAGCAAATCAAATTCCCTCAATGTCTGCATATGAAAATGCCTTATTATACACCCTAAAACCATCAGCTCTCTGTAATGTTTCATCAATGCATGTTTCATCATTGGTACTCAGCATGAATGGTCACTGTGTTGAGTTCCTACAGCTTTCAAAGCTAGAAACCAAGGGGATGCCCCTCACTTGAGCAAACACTGACTAAGATGTGGGATATGATAGTGATGGAGTACTCTTGTGCTGTAAAAAATGAGGAAATAGGGATTTCAAAAGGACACGGGCTTACATGAACTGATGCAGTGAATTCAGCAGAACCAGGACAATTTATACTATCACATCAATATCATATTAACAATTATGAGCACTTTTATAAAACGCTGGAAAAAATAAGCAGAACCAAGAGAACAATTTATACAACAGCAACACGCTATTAAAACCCAAACTATGTCTCATTCTGCACATTGACCTTGAGATGACTTCTGGAGCTAACAAGGGGGTAGCTAAACAAGATTTTAAGAGTGGGAAGTGAGGATGTTCTGCACCCCAGGCTAATTCTGATATGATTTTCTGGGGCACTTAGTCCACAAGTCAAGCAGTCCATGGCAGACTATGTCAAATGATAAAAAGGCAAACCCAGATAAATCCCTCAACAGCAAGCAAGATTTGCCACAATTGCTGTCCTGATGGCTATTCTTTGTATAGTACTTTAAGGTTTGTAAAACACTTTTCATACAAATTATCTCTTCTTGTTCTCACAAACTATCCCTATTTTGCAGATGAGGAAACACACAAAGGTTAAGCAACTTGCTCAAGGTCACACTGCTAAGTGTCTGAGGCAGGATTTTTGTTTAGATCTGGGCTTGGAGTCAAGAAGGCTTGAGTTTAAATTGACCTCATCCACCTTACTAGCTCTGTGGCCTTGGGCAAGCCGCTTCAACTCTGTTTACCTCAGTTTCCTCTTCGGTAAAATGGAGATAATCGTAGCACCCACCTCCAAGGGGGTTACTGTGAGGTTAAATGAGATAATACTTGCAAAGGGCTTAGCACAATGCCTGGCACATAGCAAGTGTTATGTTAACATAGTAAATACGTTACCATATTTATTATATAATCATTACTATATTAATTACATGCATAGTTAAATTAACATAGGAAACATTCTATATAATGCTATGGAAGTGTTAACTCTTATTGTTATTACTGCAGATTCCAGGCCCAGCGCTCGATCCACTGCGCCCCCTGGCTGCTATTTCTGGCAGCTAACCACGTTAAACGCGGTTCTCTAGAAAGGAAGGCCAACAGAACCTGCCGCAGCCTCCCTCCCCAATCCCAGCTCCGTCCTTTGGTGCATCCTAGACCGGACCAACCTAGTCTTAGCCCTAGGATTCTCGGACACGAAAGATTTCATGAGGTCCATCAAAGCCCACAAATATAAGAAATACAGAAAGCCTAACAGCGATCAACTAAAACCGCAAGAGCGCAAGCCGCATTTAAAATTGCGCGTGCGTGCGCGCATGCATGCATGCGTGAGAACGTGCCTACGCCTCCGCGCGGCACGACGTCATCCTCGCACTCGAGGAGGAAGGGGCGAGGGAGGGGCGATCGCCTGTCCAGCGTTGGGAAGGTTTCCGTCCGGAGCCGGAAGAGCCTTGGAGTGGCGGGGCTGAGCGGCAGGGCGCGGGCAGGGGCTGAGGGCTGGGTGTTGTCCCGGCGGGTGCAGAGCCGTGAGATCTTCCAAGATCTGGCTCTCCAAAGGGCAGGCGCACCGAGGCCCCGCAGGGCGCCGCTTTGTAAGTAGGAAATTGTCACCATATGCTCTTACTTTGGGTTGGTGTCATTTGTCACAAACTTTGGGGGGGGGAAAGCAGCTCCCGGTGGGGGGGTTGGGGGGATGTTAAGAGAGTAAGGAGGACCCGAAGAAAGAATTAAAAACCGGAAACAGCTCCATTTATTATCATTCATTTTCGTTTCTCTAGCAATAGTGCGGAACGTTACTTGTGCAACGTTCTTCTCCGTGCCTCGGATGAGGAGGAAAAAGGGCCCCAAGAAAGGGGCTTGGAGGCTCTGTCGCTGTCCAAGGGTGTGAGAGAAGAGCGTTTCCCTAGAATGTAAGCTCCTTGAGGGCAGGTACTCTTTGATTTATTGTGCATCCAGCACAGTGCCGGGGACATCTTCAGTGCATGATAAGTGCTTGTCGAATTCAGTTGAATTTTTGCCCACCTTGCACAAATGTTGATGGAATGTGGAAAAGAGTCCCGAGGATGAGTGGGTGGGCTCGGTGATGAAGCACCTTGGACAGTTAATCCTTTTCTCCGCCCACCACTTAATAAATGCTTGTTGACTGACTTCTAGTGTGGTGATGTTAAGGTTTAGGGTACAAAATAGTGCCACCTACCAGCAGATGTTTAAGTTAAGATGTTTAAGGAATAAGTAAGTGCCAGATGATGAGACTTTAGGCTGCTTAAATGAGTAATTGTGAGTTTGGAGTGCAAAATTGTACAACGCTTACTATTACTAGCTGATGTTCAAGGAGAAGAATGTAAGCAAATGCCACATGATAAGAGACATATAACTGCTTAAATGAGTAATTGTTGATGTAGAGTACGAAATAGTAGACCTATTTGCTGGTGTTCAAGGTAAAGAATGTAAGTAAATGCCAAATTATGAGACTTATAACTAAAATTATTAATGACCTTTTAGTTGTCAAATTCTATGTATGGCCTTTTCTTCAATCCCCATTCTCCTTGACCTCTCTACAGCTTTTGATACTGTTGATTACTCTCTTCTCCTTGATACTCTCTTCTCTAAGGGTTTTTGGGACAGTATTCCCTTCTGGTTTTTGTCTAACTTGTCTGATCATCCTTCTCTGTCTCCTTTACTGGATCATCCTCCAGATTTCTGCCTTCTAATTGTAGGTGTCCCTCAGGGTTCTGTCCTGGGTCCTCTTCTCTTTTCTTTCTCTACTACTTCATTTAGTGATCTCATCAGTTTCTACAGATTTAATTACCATCCTTATGCTGATGGTTCTCAAATCTGCTTTTCCTCAATCTCTCTGCTGACCTTGTATCTCCAACTGCCTTTCTGACATCTGAAACTGGAAGTCCAGTAGACATCTTAAACTTAACATGTTTGAAACTGAATTCACTATCTTTTCCCCTAAATTCTCCCCCACTTATATTTTCTATTACTGTAGAGGACAATAACATCCTCCCAGTCCTTCAGGCTTACAACCTGGGAGTCATCCTGGTTTCCCCACCCCTCATATCCAGATATGTCGATTTCACCTTGGCAACGTCTCCCAAATTCAACTCCTCTTCTGACTCTGCTACCATCTTGGTGCACCTCATGCCGTGATTGCTGCAATAGCCTGTTGGTGGGTCTGCCTGCCTTAAGTCTTTCCCCACTCCAACCCATTCTCCATTCAGCCACTAAAATGATTTTCTGAAAATACAAGCCTGATAATGTCACCCTCCTACTCAATAAACTTCAGTGGCTTCCTTATTGCCCCCAGGTGCAAATCCAAAATGCTCTATTTGGCTTTTAAAGCCCTTCTAACCTAGTTTCCTGCTTGTCTTGCACCTTACTCAATTCTCTTGGATCTAGTGATACTAGCCTCCTGTCTGTTCCACAAACAAAACACTCCATTTTTCAGCTCCGGGCATTTTCTCTGGTCCTGAATTCCTGGAATGCTCTCCCTCCACTCCAACTCCTGATTTCCTTGGCTTCCTTTACATCTGAACTAAAACCCATGTCCTACTGGAAGCCTTCCCCAATCCCTCTTAATTCCATTTAATTTAATTGTAGCTGCTTAAATGACTAATTGTCAATTTAGAGCGTACAGTAGTACAGTGCTTATTAGTTGATGTTCAAGGTAAAGGATATAAATAAATGCCAAATGATAAAACACTTATAGCTGCTTAAATGAGTAATTATCATACTCTGTATGGTCAGTGAAAAGTTTGGGTGAATGAATGCAGACAGGATCTCAGAAGTAGTGCCTAAAAAAACCTCAAAAACAACAACCCAAAACACTACCCCACATAACTGCTGTTGTTGGAAGAGGTTAAGATATCAGTGATCATTTAAATGTAGACAAAGAAAGAGAAGCAGATCTGATGCCTTCAGTTGTTGAAGTGTGACTTATTATATATTTGTTTACAGGTCATTCTAAATCTAACTGCCTTAATTGCTATTGAAGATAATTAAACAGTAAATAGGAGCATGGCAACAAATCCTCCTGGACAAGGTAATTCATATTTGAATCTCTTTCTATGTATATATGAGTAAGGGGAAAGGAACTTAGAATTACTCTGTAGTCCGAGATGAAAAAAGGCATGGCAAAGTAAAACTTTACATCTAAAACTGATTTAGTATTATACAAGGCCCCTTAATATTGTGACATTATATTCAGCATTGTCAATTCCCACTTTTACCTATGGGCTAAGAATGTTAACTTTATAAATCTTAAGTCCATAGCAGAGATTTGAACCCAGGTCCTCTGTTTGCAAATCCAGTACTTTTTCCACTGTTAAGAGAAGATAACATTGTTATTAGGCAGCATTCAGATTCTTAGTGTTATTACATAATCTTTTAAGTTCCCACATATGTATGGTTCTTGTTTATTGGGTTTTTTTTTTTGCCTTTCTTTGAATCCCTAGTACTTGGCACAGTGCCTAGAACATAGTAGGCTTATATAACATAAAGGGATATTGGGTGACTATTTACCGATTGAATCAAGTAGACATGTTCCCTGCTCTCAAGAAAATATATTCTAAAATGGAAATAATCTAAGTGAAAATAATACTTGGAAATAAATACTACCTACAGTTTTGATGGCTAATCTTCTTTCCTCCTCCCTCTCTTCTCCTTCCCCATTTATTATTATTTTTAAAGAAAAGTAGATATCTGGATTTAAAGGGTAAGGGAGAAATTAATATAGGTTTATAATTGTAATAATTTCTCAGTGCATTTTTTTTAACTTTTGGAATTTAGGTTCTAATCTGAAAAATGGAACAAAAATTTCTGCCGCATTAGATTTTTAGTTTGGAATTTCATGAATTAGTTAAACCACTCATTTGAATTATTGATTGCCACTTCATATATTGTTCAGGTCCTTATTCTAACCCTTTAGATTTTAATTTAATAAGTATTCTTTATAATTTGTATCCTTTGTCATCATGCATTTTGGGGGTAGTTCAACTTCCTGAACCTATACTTTAATGTTAGGATAGAAGTTCTCAATTTTTTGTGTTTTGATGGACCAAGGAGCCCCAGTGAAATGATATAGAGAGATTGGAAAAGGAGAGTGAGAGAATAGGGATTAATTTATACTTGAATTTGTTCACCTTTTATTCCCAAACCTTCTTCTCTTTGCTTCTCCTAGACTAGATATCCGGTCCAAGAGCCAGCTACAAGATAATGGGCATAGAGAAGGAGAGAAAAGGAGCAGGTATAAGGTAAAACTTTCTTTCCTGCTCCTTTTCTTTCTGGGGCCTTTGGGCCTGGTGAAAGTGATATCTGGGACCAAAAATATGGAAATCATTATTAATGTAAAAGTCAGGATTTATTTTGGTGCTGGCTGAAACTTTATTTCTTTTTGATATCTTGTAAATTTTGATGTAGTTATAGAATCATCTTTTGTTTTAATTAGAGTGAAGGTTTGAGGAAGGTAGGAAGCTGATTTCTTACAGAGGATTGTATTCTGTTTTTAAAAATCGTTTAGTTTTTTTGTTGTTTTATAAACATGTATATCTACTTTGTAATGAATTTTTATGAATACAACAAATTTATTTTAAAAAAGATAATTAGACTATAGAATCAATAATTTAGATTTTAGGACTGCCATGTCAACGTGTTGATTCATATTGAGTTTTTGTTTCAGTCCATTAAGGCCCCTAAATCTTTTTGACATAATTACTGTCCAGTCATATCTTCCCCATCCTATGCTTACCAAACTGATTTTTTTAACCTAAGGGTAGGACTTCATGTTTATCCCTGTTCAGCTTAATCTTACTGGATTTGGTCCATAATTTTAGCCTTTTGACATCTTTTGGGATCCTGATTCTCTTACCCAATGTATTTACTATATGTCTCAGCATCATGCCATCTGCAAATTTGATAAAAATGCCATGTATGCCTTCATCCAAGTCATGGATGCACTTGTTGAAAAGAGCAAGGCAATGGCTAGGACCACCTTCCTCCAGATTGACATCAATACATTAATCACTATTCCTTGGTTTGGGTTATAAAGAACTGTGGTGAAAATTAGGAATTATGAGGAGGGTGTAGAGAAGGGGGTGGAAAGGCTGTTAATTAAAAGGGTTGGTTGGAAAACTCATGACAAGATGTGGCAGTTTTCATTCTGCGATCTTGGTGTCTTGTAGATTATGAATGACGATTTAGCTCATGACCACCCCCAGGAAGAAGTCATTCAGTACCAACCAAACTGTTCTCAGAAGGTAATTAAGAAAAATCATGTTGTAATATTGTTTGGAGAAATTATAGGCAGAACCTAGATAAAGTAGTTGGAATTTGGTCAACTTACCTTTTGTAAAATGTCATGGGTTATCAATAGAGTGGTTAGAAGTTTAGTTTGTTGTTAGCTCTGTAATGAACTTGATGTTTAGGTGAAACGTACATTAGTTGGGTAATATTTTAATTTACATTTTAAAAGTTACATTGGTTATCAGCATATTTACTAAATGCTACACTGAGAAGTAGCAGTTGTAATCCTAACACACTGTTAGAATGTTATATTTTAGTTTGGCATAGGATATGGAAAATTATTGCCTACTATCATTTTGTTGAGGATGACAGTTGAATTAGCAAAAGCTATTAAACTTACAGAAATTTTAGGACAATTTAGTTTTTGCCAGTACTTATCTTTGATATAAATTTTATTACCTGATTGCAAAAGTTTCTTTTGCTTCTCTCTCAACTTCCTCTTGAAATCATCATTAAACTATCTGTAATGTAGAATATTCAGTGGGAAATAATATGTAATCCCAATTTATTCATCCAAGGTTCCCTACTGTCCTGCAACATATACAGCACCAACACGGCCCGGTCCCTGGCAGATCCTCTTCACCCTGAGTTCCTGTGACATCAGGGTGTGAAAATTAATTTTAATATAAGCCAAAATAAACCTTAGTTAAGAAAGTAAATCCAGTGATGCAAAAAAAAGAAATACTGCATTTCAAATTCAAATAAAAAGAATTTTTGTATGTTATACTTTTTCTTCCATTAGTAGAAATAATTGAGATTTACTACTTATAATTTTAATTTATTCTTAGCATAGTTGTTTTTTTAAAAATATTCACCCACAAGTCAAAAATATGGCCTTGATAGATTTGTAGTCTAATTTATTATGACAATACATCTTATTAATATAACAGAATTTAATGTAACACCTGGCTTCCAAGCAAAGTGGTAGAGAGGTTGAAGGGGAGTCATGCTCCTCACGTTTGTTGTACTACCATTCCACTCCAGATCTGTCATTGTACAAATCTCTTAAGAGTTATTTTCTGAGCTTTTTCCACTTATTTTATATAATTTGATTTTTTTAGATGTAATAATTGCTATTTGTTTCTTTTGCCATTTCAGGTATTCTGTTTGATTCTTAATATTTTTTGCTTATTTTCTTTCCATAAGAAATCCATTAATTTTAGTATCAGTAGCTTGATTTCTATCAAATTCTTCTTTTATTTCTGATCATGATTTTCTTTCCAGTGTTAAGGTGTCATTTATCCATTTTAGGATGTCTCTAAGAATATTTGATGTTATTTTTCCCACCTGAATTGTTTCTCTATCTTTTTCAGATGTATTTCATAGTATTTTTTTTTCCAATACTCTTCTTAGTTCTGCACATTTTATATTTTGGCCAATTTTGGTTCCATGGATCTTTTTTTAAGCTTTTTCTTTGTGGAGACGAGGTCAAGGTACAGAAGCCTTAGGATTACCCATATCCTAAATAATTTAGAGAAGAAAAATCTGAGCAATATAGCCTAGAAATTTGTTTAAGAAAAATGTGCAGTTATCAAAAACAAGAGCTAATATGCAAATAGAATCCACAGGTGCTTGAGAAGGGAAAATTTAAGTTCAAATCATTTAGATACATTCTTGTTAAATATGAATGAAAAAAGAACGCTATAAGAAGAAAGACAGAGATGGCATTCCAAAGGACATTAATCTGGATCACAACAGATTTTAGTAAGGAGGACTAAGATCAGTTAGAGAAACTATAATATGACATATTTATGTATTGATATACTTATAAATATGAATTATGAGCCCAGAATTAATCTATCCAGCAATAGCAAGTATTTTCAAGGGAAAGAGCTAGATATGCATGAATCATATAAATTTTGAAGGATGACGGAAAGATGTTATCTTTCAAGAGCCCCTTGAAAATAAGGTGGATTTTAAGTTTGAAAGATCCATACTTAAACAATTTATATGATTTACATAAAGTTAATCCAGTTTGAAATTAAATTAAAGAACCTTCAGACTAATTTTTTGACTTAACGAATGTTTACACATAAATTACAAAATTACGAAACAAAGCTCCTAAATTTTGAAAAGAGAGAATCTAGAAGAAATTTACGTGGTTAATAGTATAAGGCCCAGATATTTTGTTTAGAGTTATTTTATTCAATTTGAGTTAAAAATGTTAGTAGTATAAATAAGAGATTGTATTTCCTTTAATTTGAGTAATACTTTAATAAAGAATGGTGAAGTAAAAAATAAATTTTAACAGTTGTCATGCTAAAATTGTAAATTAACTGAAATCTCAAAGAAACAAGGGTTATGTAAAAAAATAAACTACAACATACCGTGACAATGTTATTTACAGTAAACATACCTGTCCTAGAAATTCATAGCTCTCTGTTGAAAGGTTGACCTAACATTTGATATTATTGCTAATTTGTGAAAAACAACAGTGGCATTAATGATAATGGACAAAGTTAAATTGAAACCAGAAAACATTAAGGAGATGAATGAGGACATCATATAATTCTAAAAGATTTCATTCAAAATGAGAGCTTATCAATCTTAAATATATTTGTACCTAATTGGCAGTGAAAGATAAGTCTCACAATATTACAAAAAGGAATAGATAATATCTCCTAATACTGTATTACTAATTTTTAACACATTTATCTAATATTTGATAAATCCAACAAAAAATTAAAAATTAGAGTTGATAAAGACTAAGCAACTTAGATCTAATAGGCATGTAGAGATAAT